TCCAATAGCTGGGATAGTATGTTTTTTCAAGGTAAGGAAAAAAAATAGCTAGTACACAAGACCACGCAGAAGAAATAATGTAAGTAAAAATGATGAATATGAGTTTGTGGGTGAAGTTTTAAATATATCCGAGCTAAATTATTTGAATAAGTTAAGTGATATAATCGGAAACTAGATCTGTCTTAATATGATTGAAAATTTTGTGATAATTAAATCGAATAATTTTCAATTTTGATGTTTCAATTTGTTTATTTTTTAAGATCGAATCATAATTCCAGTTCGGAGTTATTTATACAATAATAATTGTAGTGAGCAAAAGTAATAATTAAAATGAGGTGAGTTTTTAGTGAAGGTTAATTTAGTTCATTCAAATTGCGAAATTCAAATATTTAAGTCTAAATCAAATTTACATAGTAAGCAACCATATTTGCTTAAACAATGGATTAAATGTTAACATAGTTTTTTAAAGTGGTAGAATTTAATTAGTTTCAAAACGGTGTAACAATCTTTAAAAAAAAATAATTAAAATTAAAAAAAGATTGTGAAAAATATTTGTATTTGAATTGTAATAGAAAGAAGAAAATTAAATGCGTAATAAAAAAATAAAATCTTGAACTCAAGGTTTTACTTTAACATAAAAAGTTTTAAAAATTAGCAAATCAATTTTAAAAAAATTAACAAACTTTATTTGATCTACAGAGAAAATAGAAATTTATTTTTAATGTAGTTACTTTATATGAATTACTTTCATATGACTACATAGTAAAATTTTATAAATTTAAATACTCTGGTTATTATTAGTTCTCTAAATAATCAAATCAAAATAATAAACAATTCAAGATATAATTAGAAAAAGTGCATGTTAAATAAAATGATAAAACTATTTTGAAAATAAATAAAGTCGTTTTAGAGTTAAAAAAATATTTTTTAAGTTTTCCTTAGAAGGAGAAAAAGCATAATATAAGATGAAGAGTGAGTTTCTTCTGATATCTTTTGAAAGCTAGTTGACCCCCGCAGGTTGCAATCCCCCTTCTGTGACAGTGATTAGTTTCGGGTTACACACGCACCCCCACAAAAAATGTAGGGGAGACAGTGGAACGGGTTTTGGAGGTCTATCCTTACTGAAGGTTAGAATTGAAATGGAAAGGCCTCCTTAGGTATTCTTTGGACAAGCTTTGTATTCCAACACATATGTCGGTGACAATCACGGTGGTCCTTTTCAGGAACCTTCGAATTCATGAAATCGAATGCTGGCAACATACAGATTTTGTTGTTTTACGGGATTGTTTGTTATAGGCAGAAAGCAAGATCAAGTTAAATTGAACCACGTTTGCCAGCAGTCTGTTACTTATAATAAAATAACAGGAACAACAATATTTTCCCCACTCCTTTATGCAGAATGATCAATTTTTATTTAAAAAAAAGTTAAATGAATAATGGAAATACCTTAATTAATTATTTATTTATTTCATTCTGATGTACACACCAGCTACAAGTAAAAATTAAGCACAACTATTAAATTTATTTTTAGTGACAGAAATAATTTTATTATATTCAAAATATTTTCATGTTCAAATAATTATCATAATAAAAGTTGATGAAATTACACACATATATTGCATATATATATAATCATTATCATTAAGGATTTTCCTTATTAGTTATTTTTATTAATTGAATTTAAAAATATGTTTAATATCTTTCTTAAATTTGCTATTTATTTTTAAATTGAAATTTTCTGTACTTTTCTTATTTCTTAAATTTAATTTTTACAAATTTCGTTATAAGATGTACAAAATATAGTTTACTTGCACTAAAACCAATTCACTGATTGAAAATTTGATTTTATTGCTACTCATTTCTTACATTTGATTTCAACATTAAATTAGTTTTAATGGGTATTCTTCTTCACATATTTTTCACCGTCAACGAACATATGGTACACATTGTGAATTTACACATCTTTTGTGCTCAACTTTTATAACATTTGTATTTATACAAGACTCTAAGGACTAAGGAACCTATAATTCTTTCCTTATTCAAAAACTAGCTGCTTGTATTCATATTACGTAGTATATATTTTAAATCTTAAAATCTAATTTCGATATTCGATATATATAGATAAAAAAAATCATAAGTGATGCGAAGTGTGTGGTCATATTTTTCGCAAATTTAACCTCTCCTCCGCAAAGAAATTTCGAAAAATGATACTTAAACACAGCTCCTCTTTCTTAATTTAGTGAATAAAAAAAGTTATTTGACGTAAATTTTTGAAATAAAATTTTGCAACACAACCTTTACGTAATTTGATGACTTCATTGACTTCTTTTCCAGTTGCAATAAGAATATGATTAAAAGTATAGTATAAGCAAATATTTTATATAGTATATACAAAAACATGCACAAGAATTGCAAACGTGCATGACATAGTTTTTATTTTTTGCATCAAAAATCAATTTTTTTTTACATCAAAGTTTTGTAAATCAAATTTTTTTTCGTAAAAAAATCAAATTGCTACAATTATCTTGCTACAACTTCGAAAAATATTCTGTAAAAATGAATCGTGGCAGTATGTTATAGAATTATTGTGATGGATAAATAGAGCTTTTATCGCATAGAAATTCCCTACCTAATTTCATTATAAGACCAAAAATTTTNAGGTTTTGCCACACACGGTGGGAATGACTGTCACAAAACATTTAAATACTAAAAATAGGAGGTGCCTCTGTTGCTTAAACCAATGGTAATACTTAACAATGAATACACCCCATCTATTCTTTTTTTATGAAAAAAAAAAGACAGTCATAAGTGTAATTTAAACGAAGTGTTAGGATTTTCTTATAATCAAGGATTAAATTGTAAGTAATCATTTCTTATTTATGCATCATGCTCACTCAAGGCCGGATTAACCATTAAGCACACTAAGCACGTGCTTAGGGCACCAGAGGATAGGGTGGCACCACAAAGCCAAACTAAATGTTCACAGTACATTATCTTACTGAAATGATATATCTACTTACGCAAATGAAAAATTCTTTCTCCAAGAACTCTGTATTGTTCAGCAACAATGTCTTTGTGATATTGCCACTGCAATATTGACAAATAAAAACTTTAATTCATTCGTTTGACTTTAATTCATTCATTTTGTTTATGTATTTAAAATGCCTTTTTTTCACATTCTGACTGCTGATTTACTTTAATAGTCGGTATTTCATATTGTTCATATATTTTAGGCTGCCCTTGATTGTGCTATTCATTATGCTTCACAAAGATTAGCTTTTGGAAATCCTATACTTAGTAAACAAGCAATACAGGTAATATTTATTGTTTAAATTAAATTATATTTTTAATGCTACAGTTTACATAAGAATTATTATTTAAATGTTACAGTTTACACAACAATTATTATTTAATGCAAAAAGTACTTATTAGACTATTGTACTGTGTGCCAAAATAAAATGGACCACACTGAATAACTTTTGATCTATTGATCGGATCTTCACATTCTAGGACTCAAACTTAATGGCTCTAAGAGGGTGACCTCAAATATGCTAATGAAATTGTCAGGTGTCGCAAACTTATATTTTATGGGGGATTAGCATTTTGCCAAATGAAATTCCTAATTTGTCCAAATCATAAACAGGTATGTTATTAATTTGCTTCAATGAAAATTATTTTGTAGCTAATATTTAACTATATGCTATATTCCACCACAGATTTAAAGGTTTTATATACAATTTTTCTATTAATGATCCGCACTTAGTCAGTGAAGAAACCACTAAACTGTTGTGAAGAACTTGGGTTCGATATCCAGTGGCAGCTTGAAGCCCGTCAGATTGATAAATACCATTTTGTTTAAGAAGTAAAGGCAGTTTGTGTACAATGTTGACCTCATTGCCTCAATCAGACCATTGGTGACAAAATAGAGGATCTTTAACCTTCATGAATCCCTTGACAAAAATAAGCTACTGCTTTCCTTTTAGTTTTAGTCGATAAATAAAGAACCATTTAATACACAAATATAAAAGAGAGAAATAAATTAATTCGGCAAAGAAGAAGATATAAAATTTTTCATTATCCAGCGAATCAAATAACTAAGAATTTGGTTATCGGAAAATTTTTTCGAATACTGATTAGAAAGATAGTCTGAGGTCACTCGTACGTCACATGAGCACCAGAGTTAAGGCAAACAAAGAATTGAAAAAACTCTCAATATTAGTTTATATAAATATTAACATAGAGCAGACTAATTAAAACATGACCCAATTATTTTTTTCCTTCAAATTTGGTTCTTGTTCTGGATGGAAGACGAAAAAAAATACAGATTTTTTATTAAACTTGAGGGTTAAACAAACAAAAAATCAGAACTTGAAGGTTAAACATTAAATAAAAAATAATACTTGCAAACAATTTCTTTTTGCATGGAATTACCTTTGAATAAACAAATTTTATAATTATGTCCAATAATTTTTCGATTTCCTTAAAAAGTGCTCGAGATATGGCATAATACGCAAAAAATAAAATTAACATCATGGGGTTCAAACTTTTGATTACTCTTCTGACCAAACTATAGGGACAATATTTCCAAGATTGTGGCTAGCCCCTATATTTTGGAGGTCAGGAATACGAATCCGTTGAAAAAAAGGTATGTTTATTCTGAGAAAGTGCGTTTTTGTGTTTGATTTCAAAACTTAAAATATAGTCTCGCTGATTAAGTAGCATATTTGAGGTCACCCCCTCGAACTATTAAGAATGAGTCATAGTATGTGAAGATCAGATCATTAGATCAAAGATAAAGTTATTCAGGGTGATCCTTTTTTTGTGTGCACTGTACAGACATTTTTATTATTATTTAAATATTTGATGTTCTCTATTCTTCTAAGATGAAACTGGCTGATATGGAAACAAGATTAGAAGCTGCTCGTTTGCTGACATGGAAAGCTACCATGTTGAAAGATGCTGGACAAAATTACACAAAGGTATGAATTTAAATAATTTTTATTAATTTATTACTTACACCAAAACCTACGATTTTCTTATGAGGAAATGGAATTCTTAATCGATGTGAAACCTATAATTTTCAACCAAATATGTACTGTGCTTAAAGTAAAAGTTTAATTTAAAATGCAGATTTTAATGTGATTAATAATTTTTTGTGGATTTAAAATGTAAGAATTAAATTTAATTTAAAAACTGAATGCATAAAAAAATAATTTTTACTTTAATGTTCAAAACAAAGGAGAGTGACATAAGGGTTTGCTTCCAATTGAGACCTCGCAATTTTAAATCTCGATAGCAATTGGTTTAGTCATATACTGCTATAGGTGCATAAACTTCTATTAAAAAATATCAACAGGGTATAATGAATCATTACTTATAAACATGATGTGAAACAAGAAAATATTTTAGTACATGATTGTTAAGAGAGATTTATATGTTCTGTTCAAATTTAACGAAAGTTGCAAATTTTGTCTCAAAAGCTTTTAAACATAAACCTTGAAATATTTAATAATTTACATCTTAATAGATTTTGTAAGTTGTGTACTATTTAAAACAAAGTATAATTTGCTTCCTTAAAACAATGCGAAATGAAAAATTACATAAGAATTAGTTTAGGAAAGGCATGAGAGTTTTTGCTATGAGAAATTCCGCTGTTCCCCCCCCCTGTTCTTATATATAATAATTTATTCTATATGATTATAGAATATAGAAATATTTTATTTTGTATGAGATTTCATGCCCAAAAATGCTGTTTATCATACAATTATCGATGATTTTGGTTGAATATACCTGATTCAATAATATGTTCTACTTAATAGTTATTTGTTACATTAAAAATAGAATACTGGTGACCCGTGTGAATTATAGTCTCTTGATAGTTCACTTACTATGTATTTTCTTTTGACTCAATAACCCTAGCAATTATTTGTACATTGACCCCAGTAGAGCTCAAAATTGGCTAATATGGGTCCCATAAAAACATGTACCAAGGGACCTATTTTGGGATGTCTAGATTTTTCAATATTGGTCCTAGAATGACTTTCAATATTGGAACAAGATTCATTTCTATCTAGTAGCAATATAGAAAAATCGAGACATATTTGTGTTTACCCAACATAAGTCTATAACGTGCCTACATCGAAAATTATATTGGTCCATTATTGAAAGCCATTCTAGGACCAATATTGAAAAATCTAAACATCCCAATGCTTACCTAACATTTTAAGTCTATAAGGGCTCTACATCGAAAATAATATTGGTCCATTATTGAAAGCCATTGCTTTGCTTTCTTTCGTATGCCTGTTTAGGCAGAGGGGTGCGATTGTTCTTGTTTTCCAGTGCCGCCATCTATGGCCAAGAATTCGACTTCTGCCATACCATACCTCACATCCGTTTATAGGGCGGACCCATTCATACTTCCATTCATTCATCCACGAATCATAATTTTTTACCTAAATCAGAGAACGATCGATCTCCAATCTAGTACCCCCAGAGGTATTGATTTGTTATGGGAACATGGAGAACTTTACGACTTGACAGATTTAACGTGCATCAGTCACCATTTACTACACAGGGAGTCTTTGGCCAGCAGGTTTCAAACCCACGAACTCTCGGCCATAGTCCCAGCGCCCTACCGACTAGGCTATCCCGGCCCATTGAAAGCCATTGTAGGACCAATATTACAAAATATAGACATTCCAATATTGGCTCGTAAATTATTGTTTGAGGCATGTGTGTTCAAATCACGCCTATGTGGGGCTAGGCTAAAGGACCCCGTTGTGTCTGATCTAGACTGAGCAGATCAACGTCACTGTTACAAATTGAAAGTTGATTGTTCTATGTGATCCGTTCATCAAAGTATGCATGTTCCTATTGAGGTGGTCTTCCTATCGAGATTCATGTGTTAAGATCATGTACGAAAGTCACCTATGTAGACTGATTGCATGTCACCTATGTAGACTGAGACAAGCCTGCCTGCAAGCAGCCTTCATCTATTAAGTCAACCTTCATCTATTAAGAGGTAACTCAAGATAGAATCAAGTTAACATATTTTATATACTACGGAACTGGAATTTTAAAGTTGTAGTGTTAATTGCACTACAGACTCCATATTGCAAGCCTACAAGGGTCCTATATAGAAATTAATATTGTTCCTATGATCAAAACCATTTGAGGACCAGTATTAAAAATTTCCACACCCCAATAGTCGCCCTATATTTTAAACCTATAAAGGTCCTACACAATCTATAAACCTATAAAGGTCCTAAAATAAATATTTAACCAGACTATAAAGCCATTCTAGGACCTATTATTAGAAAACTTTTACATCTCAATCTCGGGCCGATATCGAAACCCATTCTAAGACCATTGGCTAGAAATATATAAAACCATTATAGACTTGTAATTAAGGACCAGTTTTGTATTTACATGTATTGAACCTGGGAATACTTTTGAAATACTTTAAAAATATCCATTTCTATATCTAGTTCCTTAATAAGTGATTTACAATACAAACAAATCTACCTATAACAGATTTTTTTTTCCCTCATAAGGTTTTTTTTTGTTTATTTCACTATAGTCCAAAAATTCACCTTTAGAAAAGAAATATTTGTTTTTTATTTGTCTATTAAACATGTGATAGTTCATATAAAATGTTGGTAAAATTGTACACAATTGAAAGAAAATTTTTGTTCAGGATTTTTTATTATGAAATAAGAAAACTACTGTGCAAATGCTTTGTCTTAAAACGCTCTGCTGATCCAAATATCTTGAAAATTAATTAATAGAACAATTAAGCACACATATTTTAAAAAGGAAAAATTGCTTTTACTCATTATTCGGCTTTTGGGGGTAATGCGGTGCGACTTGGCATAGAAAACTAAGCGATCTTAAAAATTTATTCTTGTTCTTGATATTGCAGGATGTTAAAAAATAGATTGCTAAGGCTGCACTTAGCTATCAGCTACATTTTAGAGTGGGCTTAGAAGATACAACTGCGCAATCTGATTAAGCACTCTCTTTACAGCATTACTGGAAATGATTATCACCTTCGTCAAAATGGCAAGTTTCTAGTCAAAATTTATGTTTGATGTTGAAAGAGTTAAAAATTAGATTGATAAAGCTGCATTTGAACTATTTGCAATATTTCAGATTAGGTTTCAGAAAACGTGATGTACAATCCAATTAAACACTCAGTATTTACCATATTACTGGAAATAATAACTACAAACATTTTCACCTAAAGCCATGGTGGCTCAGGAGATAGAGCGCTCTCCTTCCAATTAGATGAATCGGCTTTGAATCTCAGCAATGGCTGGTGGATATGAATTCCGCTCCCAGGTCGTACCGAGTGCAAGCTGGCATAAAATATTCTCAGTGGTAGGGGTAGGCATATAATGGGTTTAGAGACCTCTGACCATCAAGCTAACCGTTGAAGGTTTTCCTCTTCATGCAATGCAAATGCGGGTTAGTTCCATCAAAAAGTCTTCCACAAAGACAAATTTCTCCCAACACTTGATTCAGGAGTTCCCTTGTCTTCTGGGTTAGAATCAAAATTACAAGTCAACGTAGTCGAACATTGGTAGTCATAAACTCTTTGACAAGTTCGGGAGTAGAAAATCGAATTACGAAGAGCACTGCATGTTTTGATTTTATTGAAAAAGTTGCACTATAGAATTATATTGGTGGCTATCTGCCCATGAGATTTGAAAACAACTAAGTATGGATTTTAGAGAAAAGCGTTTATTTTTTTTTACCTTTTAGGTTTTATCTAAGGGCTATAAAATATTGGGTTAATTGGCCAATTTTAAATAGGGTCTACATTGGATGAATAACGTCTTTAAAATATCAGGTGAATTGTACAATTCTATATATGGCCTACATTGGTTAAGTAACGACTATGAAATATCGGGTCAATCGGACAATTGTTAGTTGGGTTGGTTTATATTGGCTGAATAACGGCTGTAAAACATTGGTTGAGTCAGACACTTCTGTATCGAACTGACATAGACTGATTAACGGATATAAAATATCAGTTGAACTTCACAAATCTGTATAGGGCCAATATTGGCCAAATAAGAGCACAAGAGCAATAAAATATCAGATCAATTGGGCAATTCTATACAGGGTAAACGTTTGCTGAATAGTGGCTATAAAATATCAGTGGAGTTGAACAATTCTATATATCGCTTATATTGGTTAGTAACGGCTATAAAATACCCGGTCACTTGAACAATTTGATATAGGGTGTGGCGTAACTACCACTACAAAAGTTGAACAACATTCACTAGTATATAAAGCATGCTAACTTGATTCTATCATGAGGTACCTTTTGATAGATGACGGTTGGCATGGTCGATTAACTCCGCCCCCCACATAGGGTTTATATTGGCTGAATAATAGGGTCTGCAATGACAATATAACGGCTTTAAAATATCGGGTGAATCATACAGTTTTATCTCTGGTCTATATCATGGGTGCAAGTCTTCCGTCCCCAGGACGGATTTCCTTCTTTCGAAAATGTCCGCGGACGGAAGTAAGACGGAAACAAGACTGACTCGAAGACGGAAATCGGAATTTTTTTTTTTTCTGTCCATAAAAATATTTTTTAGGTCTACGTTATTGGTCTACTTTCTTATGTCCTGTTGTTATTTTATCAAAAGACAGATGAATAAATATTTTTTGTACAGTATTTAAACTTGATGTATTATGGTAAAGCTTTCTTAGACAGTTTGCATATGTCGAGGGGGTATTGTGTATGTTAGGTATTTCAGTTAAAAAAATTTCAGTCTTGGCCTTTTTTCAAACTTGCACCCATGGTCTATATTGGCTGAGTTACGGCTATAAAATTTTGGGACAATCGGACAATTCTATGCAGGATTTATATTAGCTGAATAACAGCTATAAAACATCGGTTGAGTCTGACACTTGTATATCAAAAGGACATAGGCTGAATAACAGCTTTAAGATATCAGGTGAACTTAACAAATCTGTATAGGGCTGATATTAGGTAAATAAGGGAAATAAAATATTGTGGGAATATTGTTGACAATTTTATATAGGGTAAACATCAGCTGAATAGTGGCTATAAAATATCAGGTGAATCCGACATTTCTGTATCAGTCCAATATGAGCAAAATAATGGCTAAGCTAAGATTGGTGAACATTGGCCCAATGAGTTCCTGAGTCATCTTGATGCTAGGGAATGTTCAGCATTTATTTTGTTTTATCAATAGAAAAATTTTTAAGTTAAATATTATATTTCAGGAAACTTCCATTAAAAAACTTTCTGCTTTTGAGACATTTGTATCTTTTCTAAATACTGATTTTTGATTCAGTAGTGTTCAGTATATGTATCATATTTACCAGTATTAAATTTAACATTCATANAGCATTTCATTAGTTAAGCATTTAGTTAAGCATTAGTTCAGCATTTAGCATTAGTTAAATATTATATTTCAGGAAACTTCCATTAAAAAACTTTCTGCTTTTGAGACATTTGTAACTTTTCTAAATACTGATTTTTGATTCAGTAGTGTTCAGTATATGTATCATATTTACCAGTATTAAATTTAACATTCATACAAGGCTGTCTGTCCTACTACCTTTGAGACAGTAATGCTAATTTATTTCTGTTAATTGTTAAAGAAATATTATTTTTCAGGAAGCTGCAATGGCTAAACTTACAGCTTCTGAGACTGCAACATTTGTGGCTCATCAGGTAATATGTTCAGGACATATATATATAAATAAATTTATAAAACAAATTGTATAATTACAATTCTGTTTTTCAAAAATGACCTTATTCTAAGAGCCTTTTTGTTTTTCAATACACGCATGCAATAAAAATACTAATAACATCCGAAAAATATGTCTTGATTTTTTCGCACATAATGCAGTTTGGCTTTATAGGCTATATTAATGCAGATTAACTAAACGAAAAATACAGTATTCATAATTTGTAAATTAAACTTTAATAGAATAAATTTAGTACAATGTAATTTATGCCTTTCTCATTAAAAGTATAAAGTATTGTTTAAAACTTTTAAAGAATTTCATCAAAATATATTGCACACTTTACACAGTCCTATTATATTCTAAAGCAGAGGAGCATAAATTGCTCTTAAAATGTAACAAACTTGAAATTGATTACTTGTGTAGTTCAATATAGTTATCAAATTTTAGCATTTCTCATTTCAGTACATTAAGTGGTTATTTTGTTTATGTAAGAGTACACATTTATGTTATTTTGTAACATGGCACTTTAGTAGTACAGATGCAAATACTTTTATCAATTTGTTTTTGATAATCAGCCAAATAATTCAATTATTCGTTAATATTTTTTTTCCAAATAAATTAACTGGAGTTGTTTTAACAGCATGCATTGTTTATTTTAGGCTATTCAAATCTTAGGTGGTATGGGCTATGTAACTGACATGCCTGCTGAAAGGCATTACAGAGATGCAAGAATAACAGAAATTTATGAAGGTACAAGTGAAATTCAAAGGATTGTTATTGCAGGGAATCTTACTAAAGAATATGGGCTCAACTAATACTTTCCGAATTATAGAAATGTATTGAAATTTATATTGCTTTAAGTGTACCTGATTTTTTATTATTTTAAATGAAATAATTATACCCAATTGTTTTAAATATACTTCACCTTTATAGATTTCACTAAAGCTCTGATCAATTTATATGCTATTTTTATAACAATAAAATATGTTTTTTGCACTATGGTTTCTATTTTATATTTATTAGGATGAATGAAATATTTACACCATATTTTAAAATATTTATAATCATAACACTTCAGAATTTGTAGTTGCATCACTGTCAACTTCTACTTCTATGGAGACTATATGATGCCCGGGAACCATGGCCAATCCAAGCACACGAGGTTCTTCAACTGTACTATCATCACCTAAATTAAAATTATGTGAATATGAGTTTTTCATAAATAAAATTATATTTCAAAAATTGATTATTTTAAGTCAATATGACTAGCCGTTAGTAAAATGCAATTCATTATAAGAACATCAGCTCTGCTCAATCAGACAATCAGCCTTATTTAAATACAGTAATGAAGATAATACAGATTCAGGGGTCTGTCAGGTTTTTTTTAAGAGGTAGCTATTATGGGAAAGTTTAGACATAATTTGTGAAAGTTAGAAATTATACTAAAAAATCAACAGAAAAATATGATAATATAATTATTCTGATTCTTTAGTCTGATATTTCATTCTTTAATAACAGGTACAAAAACTTGATTCTTGAATAACATATACAAAGTAACAGTATTTAGTTTATTTCTCTATGAAGAATAGAAATATCAGAATCCATTTTTATTTCTGATAAAATAAAGAGATATTGAAAGTTTTATTACAATGCTGTTATTTATGTATTGCGAGCATTACTAATGCTTTGATCGTAAATTTGAATTGACTTGTAATTAAACAAAAAAGTAAGGAAAAAATATATGGATCTTTAATTCGAAATACATACAAGAAATTCTTTTAAGCGAAATTGATCTTGTTTCAAAAATATCAAAATTAGACAGATCTGAGTTAATGTGTCAAAGAAAAGAATTTATGCACTTAAAATATTTTATTTTGATCTTAAAATTTTATTTATTTTTAATTGGCATTGAGATTTTACTAGTACTACTTCAAAAGTTTTCAATGAAATTTTATAAAATCTAGTTAAATTCTTAAGAACGAAATCGATTATTTACGCAAATAATCTATTTTATTCACTATTAACTAACACGAAGATTTAAAGGAAACTACCTCATTAGTTTGAAATTTTGGATAAGTTAAAATTTTATAAAAACGATTTTATGTTATTATTATTAGAGGTGCTTTACTTTAACATTATTCATCTTCATTTAAGATGACGATTTTAATTTAATTACTTCAATAGTATGCAATTTCAGAAAAATTTTATGATTATACGAATCAAAAAGTACCCATTTTTATAGTGTTCACTAAAAATAATAATAAAAAAGTTAATGATGAATCAATACACAGGAAATTTTTCACAGAAAAATTGACACTTTTACACAAATAATAATAAATTAGGGGGAAACTTAGGAAATGGGTCTGAGAAAGCAATTCATAGATTTAAAATAAATTAAACTTTGATTCAACAAAATAATCTATAAAAGGTTTTGTACATAATTATAAGTACTTAGTAGATCTTCTTCAGCACAACAGGCCTTGGCTGCCTCAACCACACGTAACCTCCTTCCTGTCCATGGCGACTTTTTTCCAGTTGTTTAGCAGTGTCCTCCAGCCATCTACTTGGAGGTCTTCCTCTAACCCAGTGATTCTCAACGTTTTTTTTAGGGCGGCACACTTTTAACGGTTTCGAAATTTGACGGCACACAATGAAAAAAGCAGTTTACATACCTATAATACACTGTGTTAAATAGTTTGTGATAATAATCTTGAATGTGAAATAAAATAATATGTACTACAAAAGCACGTTTATTAAGGGTTTTATTATTTCTTTTGACGAATTTTTTATTAGTAACAGCTATTTTTATGCTAGTTATTCAAAAAATTTTTAAATTGTCAAAGACAATTTAAACACTTTCGTCTTATTTTAAGAGATTGCTAGAGGCAAGACAATCGCCGACAAAGATGTTCACACGGTTAAAGCATGGAAAAATTATAAAATGTGTATAGATATATAATATTTTATATATATATATATGCACATTATATTTATATACACTTTTCTTTAATTTAAACTTTACTCGTAATAAAAAAAGCATTATAATTTTTATTGTATCATTTCTAATATTTGGCGGCACACAAAAGTGCCACGGCACAGTGGTTGAGAATCTCTAACCCGAGATCCCGAAGGATTTTTAAAGGTGGCGATTCGGACTGCATTATTTTCTGGACCTCTCCAGATATAGCCAAACCATCTTAATCTATTGCTTCGGATGACCTGCACTATCTGTGGCTGTCCATAGAGTCTATATAATTCAAAGTTATATCTGATTCGCCAACAGCCTCTTTTTCTGTACTGGGCCAAAAATATTTCTAAGGATTTCCCTTTCAAAAACGCCAAGAGTACGCTGAGTGTCTGCGTTTAGTGTCCATGTTTCACTTGCATAGAGCAATACAGGTAGAATAAGAGTCTTATAAATTTTAATTTTGGTTTTTCGACTGATTAGGCTTGATCTTAATTGCTTTCTTAGTCCAAAGAAACACTTGTTTGCCATTTTAATTCGGTTGTCTACTTCTGTTTTTANACTTGGATCAGCCTGCGTAGGGACCGAGGGTGTGCGGTATTGGTCCTCGTTAAACTGTTCTACCGTAAAGTGCTCGACTTCGCGTGCAGGTCGTCGGGCTACCGAAGCGGGGGTGCCATCCCCTCTGCAGAGGATCAAAATTGTGATGGCATGTCTTCGGATCATCCTCGTGTCCTGCCGGTTTCCACCTATTGTTGAGGTTTCTGAACTGGAAGTTTTTTACAGTGTGGGGTAGTTGGCACTGGGTGACCCTTATTTGACCCTGTTAGTAGCTAATCTACCGCCAGTAGCTACGGGATCGACCACACCACCATCTATAAGGTGGAAACACCGACTGGTAGATACTTATAAAATACGATAGATACTTATAAAAGTATTTGCTGTGCTATGATGCAACAGTTTCTTAGTTTTTCTTTTAAATTAGATTTTAATTACCTGCACTTTAGTTTTAGGAAATGACAGTGGATTTATATACTAAGGTATTAGAACTTTTACCAATATATTTGTTCTTTAATATTTGCTATTTTTAACTCAATTTACTTAATCAATCATAATTATATCTTAAAAGAAAATTTAGTCGAATTGTTGAGATGCAATATTGGCATACTGTCGGTAATATCGACTTTCATTGCACTTAACATTATTAAAAACATTTATGTAGAAATTTTTTTGTTTATTTGCATATTACTAATATAATTCACATTGCACGGATTTCAATAATAAACTCTTAATTTAATAAATTTTAAAAAAAAGTATAATCGATGGCATAAAAATAAAAGATTCTACTTTCTACAGTCCTGTTTAGCTATATAGATGTTGTTGAAAATTAAATCAGTATTTTTTTAAGAAGTTATGTCTACGAGATTGAAAAAAGACAATTGTTTTAAGAAAACTTCTAAGCCTATCAATACAATGCAAAAATACTTATATTTTTAATTTTTTGGAAGCTTCACTGAACTACGCTTATTGAAAAATATTTTATAGAGTGATAAAAAATTGAAAACTTAATTTTGTAAAATTTTAGATATTTAGCAAACATTTTAATATTATCACAAAGAGAGGTACAAAGCAATGATTTACACTTAGTTGTGTGGAAAATAACTTTAAATCAAGTTCACAAAGCAAATTACATTATACATTCGATCGTAGACCTGAACACCGTTTAAAAATAAAATAAATCATTTTCAGAGCAAAGTGTCAAATATAGGAAAAAATTATCAATAGAAACAGAATAAATTAATGTATAAAAAGAAATAGTCCATTAAATTAAAATATAAGTGTACTAAAAGTTTCGAAGACAACCTGAGAGTTAAAACAAAATTTGAGAGTGTTATAGTAAAAGCTTCGTGACTAAATAGTTGAGAAAGTGTTTGATTTGAGAGTCACCCCCTTTTTAAACTTACCCTATAAGTTAGAACTTCTCTTGGAACACCCTCTATCCAATGGTTACATCTTATTGCAATCAAAAATTCTAGGAAAATTTTAGCGTTTATAAGCAGATTCAATTAAACAAGTTATCTTTTCTTCATCCCATAGATCTGCCACCTTGTCCCTTAAAAATAATTTCCCATAGATATATATATCTATGGGAAATTATTATTATATAGATATCTATATATTATCTATATATAGATATAGATGAAAATATTAAAAAAGAACACATAAAGGTATTGAAACTGAGGGGAAATCGAGCTTTTGATTTTCTGGAAAGGGAAAACGTTATGATTAAATGAAAATGAATATATTAATAANTGTTGTTAACTGGTTACCATTTATTTGGCCAATTGTGATTTTGGGAAGTATCTGAGTAAAGAAGGGAAAAGGAGGAAAAATTATACATAATATCACAGTTTCTATTGTTCTTTGCAATTCATTCTAATTTCACCTTTAAGGTGATCTTTCAGAAATATTTCGTATTTTTACAAACTTTGGATTTATAATTTGAACTATTTTAAAATTAGCAGTTTCGATGAAGCTAAAAGCATAAATACATTGCAAAAAATTAAGTTAACAAATATCTTTCAGATTGGTAGGTTAAACTTATGGTTAAACTTATTTCATTTGTAAAATTGCTTACTTTTTACATACTGATACACTTTTATATCTAAAAAATGCATTTGTAATTAAAATTACACATCTTTTTACCGCAAATAATATATACAGTTAGTAAAATATTTTACAAATAAAGTAGCTCATAAATTCCAAAGCCAACTTATAAAGCATAGTTGCAATGATAAAAAATTAAATTTAATGTTTCATGGTTAGTTTCCCTTCAATATTCATTAAAGAATCTACTTGTGTTAAGACATAATATGCTGTAATGCGTGGTTGTGCATTACCGAACTCTTTCGCTTTATAAGTTTAGCATTCAATATTTTCTACGAGTACATTAATAAGATTAGATGAAAAGTATCATTATATTATAAGTTGGTGGTTCGTTCCAGGGCTAAACAGAATAGAAGGGCTGGTT